CTCATCTCACTCCCATTGAAACACACGTAAGCAAATCCCAAAATTCCATCTGCTTCCCAAATTCCATTCTGAAATTCCTCACTTCCCTAATTCCAAAATTAAAAAAATCCAGTAGGCTTTTTAGCTAAAATGGTTCATGAGATTTGCATAACTGTTTACTTTGGTCCTTGAGATTTCAAATCAATAGAAGTGGTCTCTAAGATTGTCCACCATCCATTATTTTGGTCATTCCTTTAAAAATTCCGTTAAGTGGATCGGAGCTCTTGACCGGAAGTTTGGGTAATTTTCAAAATTTCGTAACTCAATCGTTTCTTAACCAAATTCGACCCATAATATATCAAAATGAAGATAGAGAAGTGTAGAATAAGATTATACCTATTTGGAAGCCTAATGGTTGCCGGAGATGGTCGGAAAATAGCCTCAAAGTTGACTGCTCCGAGGGAAAACTGAAAAACTCGCTAGAAACTGGGTAAACTTTAAACGTTCATAACGTATTCAATACTCAACGAAATCAAGTGATTCAAAAACAAAAATCATACTTCGCAATGAGATGGAGAGAATAGTACCTTTTTTGAAGGCTAACTCACTGTGGTTTAGCAAAAAAGGGCTCGAAAGTGGCTAACTCGAGACTAAGATAGCCACTTTCGAGTCATTTCCCGGCCAAATCACGGTGATTTAGCTACTGAAAAATATACCATTCTCTTCTTCTCGTTGCGAAGTATGATTTTCGTTTTTGAATCACTTGATTTCGTTGAGTATTGAAGAAGTTATGAACGTTTAAAGTTTACCTAGTTTCTAGCGAGTTTTCCAATTTTCCCTCGGACCAGTCAACTTTGAGGCTATTTTCCGACCATCTCCAACAACCATTGGGCTTCCAAATAGGTATAATCTTATTCTACACTTTCCTATCTTCATTTTGATATATTATGAGTCGAATTTGGTTAAGAAACGATTGAGTTACGAAGCTTTGAAAATTGCCCAAACTTTCGGCCAAGAGCTCGAGGACACTTAACGGAGTTATTAACGGAATGACCAAAATGATGGATGGTGGACAATCTTAGGGACCACTTCTATTGATTTGAAATCTCAGGAACCAAAGTAAGGAGTTATGCAAATCTCAAATATCATTTTGGCTAAAAAGCCAATCCAGTATGAACCCAACACGCAGAGCATCAAGATCTACACTTCCATCTATATCTGGCTGCATTTAGCGGCCCCTCATCAACCCTTTTAACGGTCTCTTTATTCTTCCCATAAAGCGCTCGATCTGACCATTATCAGAATTATCCTCCTCGTTGTATTCACTGCCACGCTGAGTGGCCGGAACACTTTCCGCCAAAGTCGATGTTCAATGCTACTGTTCAAATTAGCCACCGTTGATGTAGGCGAAGCTTAGTTATGTTGAATTTAGTTAGACTTGTTAAGCATAATGGCTTAGGGTGGGGCCGGAGAAGAAGGTGGGTGGGGCCAATTTATTCTTGTTTTAAAATTAAATTTTAACATTCAATCAATTGTTTTTTTGCCACGTCATTAAAATGTGTGGGTTTTATAATTGCCATATCATCACTTAACGACGAATTTAAGGGATTGATTAATGGTTGTACGAAATTGAAATGAAATAATAGTAAATGTATAAGATTGAAATGTTTTAAAAATGTTGTATGATGTTGTAATTGTACCCAAACTTGAGGGTGCATATTGTACCTGTATTCTAATTATATCTTCAAAAGTCTTCCTACACGAATGAGGATTCTGGGATCCTCCAATTGTGCGGTCAGTTTTTATCAAATACTATTTATATTCATTTTTAAATAAAAAAATTTACAATGATTTCTGATCACACAATGTCCGATGAACAGATACGATTGGAAGATTCCCGAGATTCTCTCATAGAGGATCCGGAGAGGATCCTATTTCTTCCTACGCATATCATCACTAACCAACCCTCCATCATAACCTCTGAAATAACCCTAAAATGGTGTTCCTCTTAGTTAAATTGAATGAAAATATACATTCCATGTTACAATCAAAAGACTAGTTAAATTGATTGAAACTATGCCATTGAGGACAGGACGACAAACTGCAACTAGTACAAAAAAGACAAACTGGAAAGGTTGTAGGATGGTTAGCTATATCAGAAGCTAACATTAAGAAAAATAGCTGACATCTCTATTTTCTTTTCACGTGGAAAGGACAACAAAAAATGTCAATGAAACATGGATAAGTAAATTAGCCTATCTTAATTTGCCTCCTAATGTCTGAAAATACTGAACTGACCAATGTATATATTAATTTTCTTATCTTATGTATACTAGCCTTCATGCACGCACGTGAGCGCGTGCAAAAGGTATTTTTTGAGTTACGGTGTGTTATGCGCGACTTACACGTTTTAAATGTATTTACCGTAAATTGATAAAAGGAAAGTCAAATATTTGAAGTAAATGAATAATCTTAGATCATGCTAAAAGTAAGTCCTCATAAACCAATTAAAGCAGCTGAATTCACATAATAAAACCAGTCTCTATAGAATTTACATTAAGAATAGAGAAAATAATATTTAATAAACAATTGATTGAATCACATTATTGCTAGCACATTGTGAGGCTAAGCTCACCTGCCTCCCCCTCAGTGTAGATAATATTGTTTGTTTAAAAAAAAATTTGACAACTAATTTAATCACATTATTATCCGCGTGCGAAAGACCTTTTTTATATCTGGCATTGCACGACTTTTAAGATGTTTTGAACATGTTTAAAAATAGAGAAAATAATATTTAATAAACAATTGATTGAATCACATTATTGCTAACTCATTATGAGGCTAAGCCCACCTCCCTTAGTGTAGATAATATCGTTTGTTAAAAAAAAATCATTTGACAACCAATTTAATCACATTATTATTTATGAAAGACCTCTTTTATAATCGGTATTACACACATCTTAAGATGTTTTGAACGTGTTTAAAAATAGAGAAATTGAATCACATTATTGCTAGTATTTTGTGAGGCAGTAATTTTTTTTACAAAAAAGCACAAAAAAAATGTTAAAACAACGAAAATACCCATTCCTTATTTGATGCAATATTTTGGGATGCCTTTGAATTTTTTTTTTGTCTTGAGGGTATTTTTATCTAAATTTTTTTGTTGAAGCCTGGTGACACCAAAGTACTATTCACCTTTTCCATTCTCTAAAAAAATACTGTTAAAAAATTTAATTATTAAAAAAATACTGTTGAAATAGATTACTTCTACCAATTTTTTTATCATTGTTCAACGGTATATAATGTACCCCCGAAGACGACGAGATTAAACACTATAGAATACGTACATATTTTCATAAAAGAAATATGAAAAGAAAAAAAACGTATCAGAATCACCTGTTTAAATGTTTAGATTATTATCAGATTCATTGAAGATGCAATATACGGCATGTTGTTTCAAATTATCTCTATTGCAGTTGAATGATGTGATTCAACACAAAAAAAAAGTTGGATTTTTCTGATTTTGAATCTCTCTCCCGAAGCGTGGGTAGCTATTGAAATTAGTGATAGAACCTAGAATCAATATCGTAACATCTAGATTAGAAACGTCTAAAAAGATGTCCAGAGATAAGGATAGTTTTTTGGAACAGCTGATAAGTCTGGATTTGAAACGTTTGGGGTGAAAGATGATTTTCTGGAAACAACTGATAAGCATAAGTTTCATAGGCATAATACTATTATATTAGTAGGTCAATAGTTTTCCAATGTGGCTACACATTTTTAAATTTGGACTTTTATTGGATGTTTATAGATACATGAGTTTTGTTTAAGGATCGTGAATTGTAAGGGCTAAAATCTAATGGACCCTTACAATTATTACAAGCAGTTTATGCATTATTCCTCCTTTCTCCTTCATGTATGTAATGTCGTTTCTCTTTCTCCTCACCATCTCCATTTTTCTCTCTCCGAACAGGCCTTTAGTTTTCAGGACATATACCTAAACTGTTGCTAGATATTTGTTTGCTTACCAATTTAGATGGGGGCAATTTGCAAGTGAGACTACTTTATTATACTTTCCCTCAAGGTTACTTTTTTGGTCATCAGGATTCATTTAGGTTAGCAATTACAGCTTCCCCTTTAGCATATGCCCTTCAAGCAGTTATAATGGCATTGGTTACATGTATATTAAATATCAGACTCCCTTTTCTGTTACAACTCAAGGTAGTTTTGATAGATTCTAGCGTCCGATGATCTCTCTCTCCCTCCCTCACACATGCACACGCTTATTTTGAACACACTAGCAATGTTTGATATCATTGCATCTTATTAATATGTTTGTCCAAGAATAATGATGTTTTGTTATTCACTAAGATCACCATTTCATTCATTATTCTTTTATACATTTTATCAAACAGTTGGAGAACATATATGAAGCCAACTGTAATCTTCAAAAGGGCAGCTCCTAAGGTATCCATGGACATTTACCAAAATTCGGAAGGTCAGCATCCAAAGTATCCATAAATGCTCACCAAAATTTGGGGGGTCAGCTGACCCCCTGTCTCTCAATGCATCTGCCACTGCTTAGTGGAAGAGATCTGGAGAGGCTCTCTTCTCACATTTTCTCATTTCGTTTTCCATATTTACCCCTTTATTCAGCCTCATGTATGTGGCACATGACTCATTTTAACAGAATTGATGAAAAAGATCATTGTTACATGTTTGGAAGAGTTAAGGGACCAAATGATCATAGATTTTAGTTAAAAGACTATTACTCAATTTTTTTTTTGAAGCAAACTATATACTAAGGAAGATGAGGTGAACTCAACCTCACAATGAGTTATCAATAATGTATTTGCCGATAAAAAGACTATTACTCCAATTAAATGCTCCAAATTAGTTAATGGACCATTACTCAAATAAAACGATTAATCTACACTGTATTTGCCGTTGGATGAATCCAACGGCTATAATAAAATAGATGCCCCAGATTAGGCCCCACACACAGTGGAATTTCGCGCCACTTTTGTCCTCCGGTGAGTTTCTCACTTTTTCCTTGCCTGATTTCTCCCAGTGACGGCAGTGAAGACTGAAGAAGAAGATGCTGTGGGTAGACAAGTACCGACCCAAAACCCTAGACCAGGCAATTGTCCACCAAGACATCGCCCAAAACCTCAAGAAACTCGTGCGACTCTACCACTCTCTCGTCGATATCAATTCCCAATTTCTACGATTTCATAACCCTAACTTCTTCTTGTGCAGGTTGCAGAGCAGGATTGCCCCCATTTGCTCTTTTATGGCCCTTCCGGCTCCGGCAAGAAAACCCTCATCATCGCCCTCCTCCGTCAGGTTTTCGGTCCCAGCGCCGATAAGGTCCCAATTTTCTCATACATTTTCCCGTTTATTTGTTTTGAGCATTTGGGATTCAAATTATTGATCTTTTTCTTTTGGGTCTTCTGTCCACCTTTATATAGTTTGTTTTGGTATCAAACGAATTTACAGAACTAAAACGAAAAGAAATAGATGAAAAAAAATGCTTAGCTCTTAAACATGCGAGGATGGATTCCTCCTTACAAGTCAATCACAATCCGAAAAGTTTGCATCTTTTTTTTCTCTTTATGGTTCCAGTAATGAGCAATTCGTCCTTATAAGCCAACACATACAAATTACGGTTCGCTTGTAAGGATTGGAATGACTCCTTACCTCTGAGGAGTCAATAGTTGTTCAAGTACCCCACTTAAATCTATCTCCACAATTAAACGAGCATTTTATGGAAGAAGTGTGATGTTTTCTTCTACTTGAAATTTTCTTATTTGAGAAATTTTGTGTTTGTGGTTGGCAGGTGAAAGTGGAAAATAGGGCATGGAAAGTTGATGTAAGCTTCACCTTCTTTTGATTGATGGGATTGATCATTGTTGCAACTTCTGTAAAAATTGTTGCTTATTTGTCATTTAGGTGAAAAGCTGTGTTAAATTCCGGTTCATTGATGATTACTGGCCATCTTTTATCCCATACATCGAACATGCTAATGTATTATGTTTATGAGTCATTTCATATCCGAATAATTAATTATGAATTCAAATTCAAATTCAATTTTCTCCTCTTTATGATTAATTTCTCATTTCCTTGTTCAGAATGCATGGATTGGTTTTTCTTACCTCTATTTGTTAGCTTCTTGAAACGAAATTAGGTGCTTACTTTCATTTTTAGAGAAAAGCCTCCATAGAATTGGAGCTTTAGGATATATTTTAGATCTCTTACATGATATGGCAGAAGGACACTTGCATCTCCAACCTTTGTGAGTATAGTACGTTAACCAATTTATATATCTTTTAATGCTCACCTTATTTCCAGACATTTTGGGCCTATACAATGTATTAGTAACGTTATTTATGTTTAGGAAAGATTATTTTCCTTTGAATATCTCCTTGTTCAACCTAAAACTATTGTTCAATGCGTTTTGAGCTCCTTATAACCGGTATTTGATTAAATCTTCCACTTGCTTATTCATTTGATTTTTTTTGCATTCAATTTTAACTAGAAGTTTTTTTTCCTATGATTTATTTATAGGCTGGGAGCAGAACCATTGATATAGAGCTGACTACATTGTCAAGCACAAACCATATTGAATTGAACCCCAGTGATGCAGGCTTTCAGGATAGATATATTGTCCAAGAGATAATTAAAGAAATGGCTAAAAATAGGCCCATTGACACAAAAGGGAAAAAAGGATATAAAAGTAAGTTGAACGAAGTTTACTATCCTATTATTTATGAATAAAACTTGTCCAGTGTATATGTTTGGAAGTATTTCTTTTATACATTCATTTGAACAGTATGCAGTATTTCTTTAGAATAATTTGCTTGTTCATCTTATGGTTTTTTATTTTGTTTTCTCATCCTTTTCACAGTTCTGTTCAATAGGCATTGTATCTTTCTCTCTCGTCCCCATTCTAAAAACCTAAGAAAACAAAGAAAATGCAGTTGGACGATCAACAAATTTGGTGTTTCAGTCTTTAAGATTTGTGTGCTGATAACATGTCCTCTTTGCAATGCCAGTCTTAGTGCTGAATGAAGTTGACAAGCTTTCAAGAGAAGCGCAGCATTCTCTTCGAAGAACTATGGAGAAATATAGTGCTTATTGCCGGCTAATACTATGCTGTAACAGTTCTTCAAAGGTTACTGAAGCAATCCGGTCTCGGTGTCTAAATGTGCGAATAAATGCACCAACAGAAGACCAGGTTAAATTTGCTAGCATACAACTTGTAGAATTTGATATCATAAAGTATGTTTTGACTTCCACTGTCAATTTAGGTCTCATTTGATGGTTTCATGTGAAACTTTTTGTGCCAGATTGTTAAGGTATTGGAGTTCATTGGAAAGAAGGAAGTGCTGCAACTTCCTTCTGGATTCACTGCTCGTATAGCTGAAAAATCAAATAGGAGCTTAAGGAGAGCTATATTGTCCTTAGAAACTTGTCGTGTCCAACAGTTGAGTGCCAGAGTTCTAATTGTTCATCAGTTGTGTGAAGCAGTTATTTTCTTTCTATGCGCATATGCACCTTGCAGGAATAGCACAGGTTCTGATGGCTATGGTCTTCTGTACTTTTCATGTGGTTGTAGGTATCCCTTTACAAGTAACCAATCGATACCCCCAATGGACTGGGAGGAATATGTTTCTGAAATCGCCTCTGATATAATGAAGGAGCAGAGCCCAAAAAGGTTTGGCTCTTACATTATTGACATATATTGCAGCATTTTATCTGTAGTTTGAAATTGTTCTAGTTCAATGGTCAAATTGAACTCAAGAAAACACTGTAAAATGTGGAAAGCCATTGGCTGGCCTATTTGTCTAGTAGAGGCTGCCCCCATTAATTGTTTATTTTCATTCATCATGTTTCTTTCACAACATATCCAATTGAACTTATGTAGATGCTTCATTAATTGGGTTGCTTCAGATAGCCAATTTCTCTCTTTTTTCATATTTTTTGTTTATTAGTTGTCTCAAGGAAGAAAGGAAAAAGAAAGCCACTGTGGATTGGCTACATCTCTCTAAGTTTATTGCTTTAATTAAAATAAATAAAATCATTGGCAGCCTCTCCATAAATGGGGGTAAGGCTAGCCGACATTCACCTCTCCCAGACCCTGCGTAAAGCGGGAGCCTTGTGCACTGGGTACGACCTTTATTGGCAGCTCAAATATGAGCTTCTTATGCAAAATCCGTAGTAGGTCCAGCATCATGTAGTATTTTCCAAATTAGGTATTGGACCTTAGAACCCTCTTTGCACGGCATTTTAAGAGCATGCCACCTTTCATGTTCCTCATTCTAATTCTTAGGTCTCTCACTATGGATGCCCACAGATTTACGGTATGCATGCCACTTATTTACTTTGCTTGTAATGAGATTTTTATGATAATCATTTTTGGCATCTTCTAGTAGTTGGACTTTGGTTTATGAATGAAGATCATGGTGTAAATTCAGTGAATTCTTGTCAGAGTTACTTTATTATTCTTTGTTGCTTGCGGATTCTATACTTTGCCATTAACCTTTTTCTTGTATCTTACTGTACCACCTTGGATGCACTATTCTTGGAATACTCTTTTGATCAACAAAATAACTTCTTCTTTATCACATGCCTTACCTTTTGTGATATCTTGATGCATGTATGTATCATCCATCTTCCCCTCCTTTGCAACATTTCATGGATGGTTAATCTGCCATTAGATGATTGTCAGTCTCAATTGGCTTTTGTGGTTTCTCTTTCTGGAATTCAAGCAGAATAGATTCCACATAGCCAGATGTGACAAATTTTGATGCATCCTGAATTTTCTTGTGCTTTTGGATTAATCTTGTAAAACATAATTCAGCCATCCAGTTTTGTATCTAACCTCCCATGATATTTTTCAAATTTTTCGCTCTTTCAGCTAGATGATGTGAAAGTGTTGGATATTTTGAATCTAAGGTCATGATTATTAAAAAAAGGCTTTATTTCCCACCAAGGGAGATTTTGTAATTGCGTGAAAATGGAGACCAGCAGGCCCTTGTTTACTGTAATACAATTATCTAATATGAAAGGATTTGACAAATTTCTTTTTTGTTATGTTGTTAGAAGAAAGGCCTACTAACGCTCCGGTTCGAAGATGTGACTATGGGACAGAGGTTCAGGGCCGAAGGGGTAGAGGAAGACCTAGGAAAACTTTGGAAGAGACCCTAAGAAAAGACTTAGAGTATTTGGATCTAACGGAGGACATGACACAAAACCAAGCGCAATGGCGTTCTAGGATTCATATAGCCGACCCCACTTAGTGGAAAAAGGCTTTGTTGTTGTTGTTGTTGTTGTTAGAAGATCCTGTATTTAATTCATTTTGGGATGCCTGAAGTTTTTCCTTATATTTTTGTAGCTATATTCACGATTAATGAAGTGGGGTTGGTGATTCCTGGCTTCTCATTTCGGATCTTCTACTATTTCCTAAAATTTTCTGATAAAAAAATTATTCTGTTTGCTTAAGGCTTTATCAGGTGCGGCAGAAGCTGTATGAGCTACTTCTAAATTGTATTCCTCCAGAGATCATCTTGAAGGTACAAATATTTTCCTTTATTATTGTTTTCTATAATTTGTTGCCCTACCTTATTTGTTTTAGGTTTTTTTTTATTTTTTTCCCAATTGTTTTAGGATTTATTAAGTGTGGCAAAAATTTTATGAGCTACTTCTTAGTTTAGTCCCACGGAATAATCTTCATTCTACAGTTTTTGCTCAAATTAACTTGAAAGTTATATTTTCTGTTTTCTCAGAGGCTGCTTTATGAGTTATTGAAGAAATTGGATGCAGAACTGAAGCATGAGGTCTGCCATTGGGCTGCATATTACGTAAGTATAATCATTTTCCATACCCTTGGTTCCGACTTGAGTTCCTTTTGCACAATGTGGTTGGATCAAGTTATATATATATTGACCATCTCCGCTTATTATGAGCTTGCATCTGTTGTGCTGCAAATAAACATTAGCATACCACAACCACAAAAATTATGCTTAGCATGCTGACGCCATCACATTGGTCCACAAGTTAATAAAGTTTTACACGTTTGGTATTTCGTATCATAATGTCCTAATAGTCATTTTCCTTCATTTTTTAAAATCTTTCCCACCCGCTTTACATATTATGGTAAATGATAAAATCCCGAGAAGACAATGCGGTTAGGATATCCATGATCCATGGTTGATTTGGTGGATTCTTCTGGTCGTCATCTGATGTTATTGGATGGTATTGGGAGCTAGGTTGTGGTTGGTTATACATATATCAGTGTATTAAATAGTGTTCTCGTAGCGCACCAAATTTCCGGGTTTGTCGCTAGGCGTTCAAAATTTTCTACAACATGTAGTTGATTTGTGGAGTTCCCAAATAGCATACGCTATTTGATCAAAGTGTATGCAATTGCAGTATAATTTGGTTGTATTGTTAAAAAGGCGTACATTATCATGGATTTGGGCATTTGGGCTTAGGCCTTCCACAGTAGTTTGAATGAATGGGATACCTATATACAGGAATCAGGCACAACAACAACAACAAAGCATTTTCCCACTAAGTGGGGTCGGCTATATGAATCCTAGAACGCCATTGCGCTCGGTTTTGTGTCATGTCCTCCGTTAGATCCAAGTACTCAAGTCTTTTCTTAGGGTCTCTTCCAAAGTTTTCCTAGGTCTTCCTCTACCCCTTCGGCCCTAAACCTCTGTCCCGTAGTCACATTTTCGAACCGGAGCGTCAGTAGGCCTTCTTTGCACATGTCCAAACCACCGGAACCGATTTTCTCTCATATTTCCTTCAATTTTGGCTACTCCTACTTTACCTCGGATATCCTCATTCCCAATCTTATCCTTTCTCGTGTGCCCATACATCCCATGAAGCATCCTCATCTCCGCTACACCCATTTTGTGTACGTGTTGATGCTTCACCGCCCAACATTCTGTGCCATACAACATCGCTGGCCTTATTGCCGTCCTATAGAATTTTCCCTTGAGCTTCAGTGGCCTACGACGGTCACACAACACGCCGGATGCACTCTTACACTTCATCCATCCAGCTTGTATTCTATGGTTGAGATCTCCATCTAATTCTCCGTTCTCTTGCAAGATAGATCCTAGGTAGCGAAAACGGTCACTTTTTGTGATCTTCGCTAGATTGCTCCGGTCATTAGTGTGGATAAGTATATAAATGAATAGAGATAGGAAAGCAATCACAAGATGTACGTGGTTCACCCAGATTGGCTACGTCCACGGAATAGCGGAGTTCTCATTAATTGTGAAGGGTTTACACAAGTACATAGGTTCAAGCTCTCCTTTAGTGAGTACAAGTGAATGATTTAGTACAAATGACATTAGGAAATATTGTGGGAGAATGATCTCGTAACCACGAAACTTCTAAGTACTGGAGTGTGGTATCGTCTTGACTTTCCTTATCTGTCTCATAGGTAGATGTGGCATCTTCTCTGGAAGTACTATTCCTCCATCCAGGGGTGGTATCTGTAACTGGTGGAGATGCACAAGGTAATGTATCAATGTCACTTGAAGCTTACTTGTAGTTTCAGGCTTGGTCAAGCGCGATACAAACCATGTAGTAGGAGTCCCCCAAGTCGCCGAGCTAGGGGATCTGCTGAAAGGGGTGACAGACAAGGTAAGCAATCAGAGCTCCGGCTGATTGTTCACATTCTCCCTATCTTGCAGGCAGCATGAAGGATAAAGAGAAGAAAAATGAGAAGAGATGATATGGGATACTTTTGTTTTTGAAGAAGTAACTTTCCACAAGCTTATTCTTGAACTGGGCTGGAGGGTTTTCTGGTTTCCTCCAAAGATAAGGCCGACTGAAGAATTTGAGGGTCAAAACAAGTCCATCAAATCTAGAGTACGTTCGACCCTGCTGATATGGGATACTTTTGCTTTTGACAGAGTAATGGATGTATCGGCACGTGTGCTGTTACGCTTGTCTCCACATGCTTCCTTGTATCCTTCTCACTTGCCCTATCTGTTCCTCAGGTAGATGCGGGATCTTCCCTGGAAGCATAAGATGTTGAAGATGAGTACTCGAGAGCAATGCCAGGTAAGTAATCAGGTAAGGGGTTCCAGGCAGTCAGTTCCTGGCTGGAAGCTTGATTCCAAGTGCTGACTGATTGCTCTCTTTCTCCTTGTCTTGCAGGTAAGAACAAGGCCAAAGGAAAAGACAGGGAAAAAGCATGATATGGGATACTCTTGCTTTTAACCCTGATGATATGAGATATTCTTGCTCTAGTATAGCTTGTTTACAGAGGTATTATCGGGGGGAAAGAAAGCTGAATATTTCGAAAGACTTCGTTGGGAGTGCCCTCTCAGATAAGAGGAAGGGTTGAGCATTTTTGCAGGTCTGCATGTCCGTTGGGGATGGAGGTCGACATATATAGGAGTCTCCCTAACATCAAGTAATAATGTTATTCATTTACCCTGCTTGGTCATAGCACGGTAGTGGGAGCTGCCAGCTTCACAAGTTTTAACTCTGTCAGAGCACTTTGAAAAAGTGGTTTGTGGTATCTGGAAAGCTGATGTTGCGTGTGAAGATTACAGACAAGCTTTATCCAAGGAGATCCAGCTCTTGAAGTTGGGAAAGTGGTGCCTCTTCGGTTTTCAAACAAGCAATCCTGTCGGGGATCTGGCTCTCGAGATTCGGAGAACGATGCCTCTTCGATTTTTGAGAAAGCAATCCTACTGGGGGTCTGGCTCTCGAGATTCGGAGAGCGGTGTCTTCGATTTTTGAGAAAGTAATCATGTTGGGAGTCTGGCTCTCGAGATTCGGAGGGCGGTGCCTCTTCGATTTTGGAGCAAGCAATCTTGTTGGGAGTGTTTTCTCGAATGTGAGTAAAGGTTGGGCATGTTTGCTAGTCTACCTTGCCACGAAACACAGAGGTTGACACACAGGGACTTTCCAATTATCCAGCAGTGGTACTGTTCCTTTACCCTCTCTTCGATTTTTGAGAAAGTAATCATGTTAGGAGTCTGGCTCTCGAGATTCGGAGGGCGGTGCCTCTTCGATTTTGGAGCAAGCAATCTTGTTGGGAGTGTTTTCTCGAATGTGAGTAAAGGTTGGGCATGTTTGCTAGTCTACCTTGCCACGAAGAACAGAGGTTAACATACAGGGACTTTCCAATTATCCAGCCGTGGTACTGTTCCTTTACCCTCTCTTCGATTTTTGAGAAAGTAATCATGTTGGGAGTCTGGCTCTCGAGATTCGGAGGGCGGTGCCTCTTCGATTTTGGAGCAAGCAATCTTGTTGGGAGTGTTTTCTCGAATGTGAGTAAAGGTTGGGCATGTTTGCTAGTCTACCTTGCCACGAAGCACAGATGTTGACACACCGGGACTTTCCAATTATCCAGCAGTGGTACTGTTCCTTTACCCTTGTGGGTAATAATATGGTAGCTAGACCTTCAAAATTTATGTGTCTAAACTTTGTTAGTGTTTTTTCTTTGCTAATCTTTTACCTTTCTTGGTCAGAGCGATGTAGTGGGAGCTGCAAGCTTCACGTGTCTCAACTTTGTCAGAGAACTTTGGCAGAGTTTTATGTGGTACCCATGAGCTACTGTTGCGTGTGGGAAGTGGGTGATTGAACAGTACGATTCATGTGCTTTCTACTTCGCCAGAAATCTTCGACAGAATGCCCATAATTTCCGCAAAGCTGAGTGTGCGTGTGACAGGTGCTGACAGGGCTGGAAAAGTAGGTGCCTCTTCGATTTCTGAGATCGGCCCTCGTGGTCTCTGAGCAGCCCAGCTTTTGAGAAAGCAAGCCTCTTCGATTTCTGAGATCGGCCTTCGTGGTCTTTGAGCAGCCCAGCTTTTAAGAAAGCACACGCCTCTTCGATTTCTGAGATCGACCCTCGTGGTCTCTGAGCAGCCCAGCTTTTGAGAAAGCAAACGCCTCTTCGATTTCTGAGCAGGCGCCTCTTCGATTTCTGAAGCTTCATCGAGTGCAGATTTTTATAGGGGCTGACATTAAGTTCCAAAGCACACTTGAATATCCACCAGTAGAAGCTCCATTCTTGCACTTCTAAGATCTTGATTTGTCCGACCTCTTCTCTCTTCAACACCTTTGAAAATGTCTGGCCCCTCCGACCGTCGTTTTGACTTGAACCTTGTTGAAGAGGCAGCCCCGCCTTCTCCAGACAACATATGGCGCCCATCCTTCGTCTCCCCTACTGGTCCTCTTACCGTTGGGGATTCCGTGATGAAGAATGATATGACCGCTGCGGTAGTGGCCAGGAACCTTCTCACTCCCAAAGATAACAGACTACTTTCCAAACGGTCTGATGAGTTGGCTGTTAAGGATTCTCTGGCTCTTAGTGTTCAGTGTGCAGGTTCTGTGTCTAATATGGCACAACGCCTATTTGCTCGAACCCGCCAAGTTGAATCATTGGCGGCTGAAGTGATGAGTCTCAAACAGGAGATTAGAGGGCTCAAGCATGAGAATAAACAGTTGCACCGGCTCGCACATGACTATGCTACAAACATGAAGAGGAAGCTTGACCAGATGAAGGAATCTGATGGTCAGGTTTTACTTGATCATCAGAGATTTGTGGGTTTGTTCCAAAGGCATTTATTGCCTTCGTCTTCTGGGGCTGTACCGCGTAATGAAGCTCCAAATGATCAACCTGATGCCTCCTCCTTCTAGGGTTCTGTCCAGTACTGAGGCTCCGAATGATCCCCCTCCGGTGCCTTCTCTTTCTGGGGCTCTACCGACTGCTGAGACTTCTCCTAAGCAACATTTGTGAAGGCTCCCTCTTGTTTGTTTATTTTGACTCAAGTATATGTACATATTTGTAACTTACTGTCTAGTGTAACACAGCTGCTACGCTAGTGTGAGAGAGTTCAATAGATTAATATTACACTCACGAGTTCAATATATTGGTACACACTCGGTTTCCGGCCCAAATATATTGGTATCATACTCACTTTTGCCTGCCTACTGTGGAAGGCCTTAGTGAGACCAATACAAAGGAATTATCAGGTTTATTTTTTATTAACACAATGTATTATTTGTATCGTAATATTTTATATTCCGCAAGGCGTAGTGTAAGCCTTAATGTGTTGACGCATAAGCTTTTCAGAGAATATCTTTGCAACTTATTGTCCTCTGGGTCTACACTTTCGTAATCTCGTAGAGTTATCTTTACATTGCATTTTTTTGTTTTGTTTACAGGAACACAGGATGCGTCTTGGGCAGAAAGCAATATTTCACCTGGAAGGTACTTCTAACTCTCTGGATGCAGCATGAGAGTATGATAAGTAAAAACGAGGAAACCATACACGTTATGTTGGTTGCTCTGGATTTATGGGTTAAAATGTTTTTGAAATATACCTTCACATAGCGAAAACAAAACCTAATTGCATATAAGGTTTCATCTATTTTATGTGTGCATGGTAAATATATTAGGCAGCACTGAGTAATGTTGGATGCTGGCTCTTTATAGCTTGTGCGATATTGTTTTTGTATTCATGTTTTTTGATTTTTCGTTTTGAAAAGAAAAAGGATTGAAATGGACGAAATGATTATAAACCTAGAACTGAAAACCATTTACAATTAATACAAGCAGTTTTTGTATTATTCTTCCTTTCTTCTTCATACATGTCATGTTCTTTCTTTTCTCCTCACCATCTCCATTTTTCTCTCTACGAACAGGCTTTTAGTTTTCAGTACATATACCTAAACTGTTGCTAGATATTTGTTTGCTTACCAATTTAGATAGAGGCAATTTGCAAGTGAGACTACTTTATTATACTTTCCCCGCAAGATTACTTTTTTGGTCATCAGGATTCATTTAGTTTAGTAATTACAGCTTCCCCTTTAGCATATGCCCTTCAAGCAGTTATATAATGGCATTGGTTACATGTATATTAAATATCAGACTCCCTTTTCCGTTACAGCGGTCAGAATCAAGGTAGTTTTGATAGATTCTAGCGTCCGATGATCTCTCTCTCCCTCCCTCACACACGCACACGCTTACATACATTTCTCTATGCCTGTGGGGGCTTGTACTCTGAATGACACATTAGACAAAATGAAGTTGCCTATTGAGCTGGCGTTGCCTCTAATGAAGTTCCTCTCAATCTTATTTTGCCAGCATTCGTGGCGAAGTTCATGAGCATCTATAAGGCTTTCCTCATTGAAGCGTTTGGCTGAACTCTGCACTAGCATGGTTTCCCGTCGACCTGAAATGTATTTTTTTCTACTTGATGGCAATGAATTGTACTCAGAGTTCGGTGTTTATCGTGTCAGTAGATGTTATGAACGACGTGCATTGTCAGCATCGTGTCAGTAGAGGTCGCACTTGGTGCGATGGCAAGTGCCTTCGTCCATGAGCGGTAGGTCTCGGGTTCGAGACTTGGGAGCAGCCTCTCTATAAATGGGGGTAAGGCTAGCCGACATTCACCTCTCCCAGACCCTGCGTAAAGCGGGAGCCTTGTGCACTGGGTACGACCTTTTCTCACTTAGTTTGTAGAATGGTTAGCATTAGACAACCTCTGGCATCCTCCTACTCAGAAAACTTTTAGCTTTGTTTATGCTGCATTTTCCCGAAAGATTGTATTTGTATTAGAGAAAACATTATTTTCCTAATTAGGTTTTATTTAAATTGTTTGTTATTATATCTCTGTTAGTAGTATTGTTAGGTCTATTGTTCTTAAAGCAACATGTTAACAGCAATAATTAGCATGTTGGGATAGTCTCGAACATGTTTATTATATTAAGAGAAGAAAGTCTAAGCACTCGTTTGGTATCTAAAATTGGATTAGCACGGTTAACTTAATATATTCACGGTATGTTGAAGGATTCGTTTGGTCACCTGATTTGTTGTCCGAGAACTTGACTTGAGTGTGATCACACGCAACGTGACGTACGAGGATATGGAGAGTTGTGTCGTATCAGATAGTATCACGACACGGATGTTTAAAGGAAGAAAAATGCAGGCGAGACAGTTGGCGCGTTGACGTGAGGCAACTGCCCGTTTGGCATTAGCGGCGGTTGCACGGGCGTGATTTAAGGGTCTGGCTGGCCAGATCTGATTTAAAGGCAGTTGCTAACTTGCTATCCCACTTGAAAGAGAAACAGCAGCTCATCAACAGCTGGACTAAAACTGCACTTTGTGAGTCTCTCTTATGGAGCATCTTAATTATTTTTAATATATATACACATTTTATTTATATATATTTTTTATAAAAGACCATTCGAGTCGGAAATCGATCCTCTCGGGTTTCCTTCCTCCTAATCCATCAAATCAGGGAATCCGTGATGTTGAAAATTGATCCAACGGTTACAAATATGGCCCATTTTAAAAGGTATAATAACTTTAACTGTTGGATCAATTTTCAACGGTACGGATTCCCTGATTTGGTGGATTAGGAGGAAGAGATCTGAAGATGATCCATTTCCATTCGAGTCTGAGTGGCGCCTTTTTTTTATAATTTTTTTTATAAATAAATGACCAGTTGGTGGTGAAGTCAAGGCACTTAGCCTTTTTGGAGGCCAAGAAGACTCACTGAGTTTTTTGGTTTTTCTCTAACCACCATCGTGTGATTCATTAACGTCACAAATCGAGGCTGAAATGAGCTGTGTGGGGTACGGACTTAGGCCTGGTAATTAGACTTTTTAATATACAATAGAGTATCTGATCACATGTTGCACAAAATGTGAGCACAAACAAACTGCTGCCCGACATGTTTTAGTACTATACACGCATAAACTGGTTATCCAGTCCAGCCATGCGGTGACCTAGGGATGGCAAAAGTCTCCGTCGGCTCCCCACCATGTGGAGGGAGAAGCAGGAAGCCACATCGGGATTGGGTTGGGTTTGGTATTGTGATGCGGTTCTCAAATCCGCCCCAAAAATTCTATTAGTAAAGTGATAATTACTTGTATAAAAAAGTAGGGAGCTGACCACTTGGGTTCATTTCACAAATTAACTTAAACACTAATTTTTAATTTTTAATAATAACCTAAAAAAATGATTGGTTGACAGATTATGGAGCAGAAACATACGAGTTGTTAACGTATCGTGACGCTCCACCACTACGAATTTCAGTGTAGCACTGGAACTCATATAGATGAAATAATAAATAATAAAATGATAGAAAACTCATTATCTTTGAGATCTAACTTAATACTTTTTATTTACTGAGTAGACGTAGAAATTATAATAAAAGGAAATGATAAGATCATATCCATTTTTTTCTTTTGAAGTAAGAAAGAGAGAATGGACTTAACTTCATAATAGATTAATAATAAAATAGCTTAAATTCGTCATTGACGATAACCGAACATAAAATATTTCATTTACAAATGAAAATAAATATGACTAAATCGTAATAAAATAAAATAAATAAAGGTCTCCATAGTTGATCGAATCTCACACCAAACACCGTCAGAAAGCTGCCACAACTTTGATTTATTCGACTACGCAACGACTTTGCTTCAAAGAAACGAAAAAGATGTAAACAATGTCTCCACTCTTAAATTCCGCCACGCGTCATCAAACCTACACGCCACGCGGGGAGAGTAAATCCAACGGTCATTTTTTCCTTGCCGGCCCCGAACCTTTGCCGCGTTCCAGTCCCCAACGTCGTCCTTTTTTTTCTTTCTCCCAACTCTTTAACCAATAGATCCGTTATCAACGTTCACTTTTTTAAATCAACGGTCATATTTTAAATCAAAAACCTAAAAAAGGTACGCGAAATCGGTTCCCCACCCACTCCAAGTCACAAACGACAATTATAACAACGCGTTTTTGAAAACTGTAAATTAATGGGTACACTAATGAATCATTATTAATAATTAAAATTAATTAATAATAATAATAATTTGATTTTTTTTCAAAATACGCGTAAAAGTGGCACACTATATTTAGAGGCCAATGTGCGCACCCAACCCTAAAATTGTCTCCAAAGTTTTCTCAACAAACAGGAAGAAATAGTGGTCAAGGCAGAAGCAACAACCACCCTACAAAAAGAGGTGTTACCCTAAACTCCTCCCAGATGCCAACCATTTTCCCAAGGATTTTCCTTATTTACAATCTTCTTAATACATTCCTCCTCTCTTTGGTCCCCAAGCATCTCAGGCATCTCCTCCCCTCCTCCTGGTTCCCCCACCACACCACTCTTCTTGACACCAAAACACCGTCACCCCAACCCCCACCTCCGTCGTCGTTGTCTTTGCCCTTGCCCTTGCCTTCTGGCGGTGCTTGTCACGTCAGAATGGACCCCAATGAGCTCAAACGCGTGTTCCAGATGTTTGATCGCAATGGGGATGGGCGGATCACCAAGCAGGAGCTCAACGACTCCTTGGAGAACCTGGGAATCTACATCCCGGACAAGGAGCTCTTCAACATGATCGAAAAGATTGACGTGAACGGTGATGGGTGCGTGGACATTGACGAGTTCGGGGAGTTGTACCAGTCTATCATGGACGAGCGCGACGAGGAGGAGGACATGAAGGAGGCATTCAACGTGTTTGATCAAAACGGAGACGGGTTCATAACCGTCGATGAGTTGAGGTCGGTTTTGTCTTCCCTCGGGCTTAAGCAAGGGAGGACTATAGAGGACTGCAAGAGGATGATCATGAAGGTGGATGTGGACGGAGATGGGAGGGTCAACTTCAAGGAGTTCAGGCAAATGATGAAGGGAGGAGGGTTTAGTGCGTTGAGTTAACAAAAAATGTGTCTTAAACCCTAATTGGATCTGTAGATATTTTTCAAAAAGTACACAAAAAAATGAGTGGCGATTGTGATCACATGTTGTAGGATACATGGTACGTACAAATCGTCGAGGGTGTACATGGCTCAACGGCATTGGCGGCCGCTGTGAGGGACGACGGCACGTTGGGGCTCCGGTGAGGGCTTTGGGAAGTATGTTGTTGATGGTGTGTTTAGGAACGAGGGAGGTAATGTCAGTGGGACAAATCTTGGGAGAGGGGGAATAGGAGGGCATAGATTAGAAGTTGGGGAATTTTATTCTTTGTGGGATTTTTATTTATTAAAACCAATTGATTGTTATTTTCCCGACTTGTTATTTGCTTGAGAATTTTCATATTGTATTTGTTATTTGGTTATTGAAATTTCTGTATATTGTTGTCATGAATTTTTACCACATTGGATTGGACTCTGCATCGAATTCGAGCCCTTCGGTTCTCTGACTTTTAACACCTTGGATCGGACATGCGTTGATACACCTTTCGATTCGTTGAAACTGCGAACGTATTGTTGATCAATAATTTATCTGAAAGTGTAGTTAACCGCATTGCAAAAATTACCAAGATAATGATGTAAACGTGTAATGTGTAGATTCAGATAGGAAAGACTTGTTGCAAAGCCATATGCAAATGTGTAGTTTCTTCCCACAGTGTACAATTTATGAATTTACGGAAGTGCTGACATTGATTTCTTAGATAAAATCGTTAGGGAGATCATGTTTTTAAACTACTTTAGATGTTCCGTGTGTTTTTCGAGGCTAAAATGGCGAGACGACTGTGCTCGAAGTGGATGTGCACCGCAATGTCGAGCACCATCGCGATGGAGGATGTGCACAGCATGGTAAAAACGCCAACAACACAAGACATTCAAGTCTACGCTGTTACCTTTTTCATTGAAAAATCTTCCTTCTCCCTCAATCATACAACTAAATTTCGGTTTTACTTGTTTCCTTAAGCATACAGCGCAGAGGACGCCCCCAGAACAGAGCAGGGTTATTCTTATTTCGGTTGTTTTGTTTTACCAATTTGAAGACAAATTTCGTTTGTAAAGAATATTTTTACAAACCAACAGCCAAGGAGCATTTTTATAAGAAAATTGGAGCAATGGTTCTTGAATTTTGGTCAACTTAGAGTTTTGATCTTTGAATTAAAATATTTTTTGAGTATTGGTTTCTGAATTTATTATAATATGGAACAATGATCATTTTACATAATTTCATTAGATTCTCTATCTAAAATAAAGGGTTTTAAAAAGGCGTGAAATGGATGGAAGTTGTAACTGAGTTAGCCAAAAGAAACAGGTCACGAATTTTTAGTTCTGGGACCAAAGCTCCAATTAAGTTAAAGTTCATGGACCATTGCTCCAATTATCTCGTATTTTAATTGTTTTTTTACTTGTACGTCGAAGGTGTTCTACTCACATAGATGACAAAAAAGTATTATATTTGTGTTAAGTTTGATCCTATAATTAATATTATTTGTATAAATACAATATTTTCATGATTATAACGAAAAAGCTTCTTTTTGAATACAACAATGTACTTATACTAAGGAAATAGAAACTTAGAATAAGCCACACAATGGACCTGTAATAATTTAGTTTGATTCAAACTTATCTTTGATGATAATTGAACATAAGATTTCTCACTGATTCATTAAGAAGAATAAAACTACACTTTAGTACTAAGTGAAAAATAAAAACTTTCCAAAACCTCCTAACCATCAAATTTCGTTAAATATTGAGTTAGTGTGCAAAATGCTACTCTTATCATATATTTATACTATTTTTCTAATAAGGATGAAACCATACGTATTGACGGATCATACCTCTATGAAAAAGAACAATACAAATAAAAGTACAGATATATGCTAAGTTTAACATTACTCCCTAGTGTGCCGACGTGACATGGAGCCACCTAAAACGTAGAAAAGTTAATAAGCTATTATTTTTGAAGACGCAAAAAGTTATTAAAATTAAATTATAGGGGTTAACCTGCGACGATTGAAATTACTGGTGCTAAAGTAGAATATTAAAAAACTAGACCACAATCACAACTTTCATAAACCCTGATCGTGAAGAAATAAACCTTCTTTGGTCTCTCTGACAGCCCCAAATCGGCGACTGGAAGCTTCACTCCGCTGCTTAGGATTTCAACAGGGTAAGTTTTCTCAGCTCATTCAAAGCTAATGGGTGTTCTTCTCAGGATTGTAAATTGTGTCGATGTCTCTGGTTTCAATCTATTCAACTTAAACCGGAATTTTGGGTAATGCCTTATTGTAAAAAAGAGTGGGGATTTTTTGGGGTACTCCATGAAAGTGCAAACTTTAGTTTAGAGAAATTTGTAGAGGGTGGGAGGTGGGGAGTGCCCATTTTACACCTCTTGACTTTTCCATACATTTTATGCTTGAATTATACATTTATTAGATTCCATGAGAGTGTCTTTATATCCAAAGCAAATGGAGGGTCAGAGAGGAAAAGGATTTTCCCAAATATTTCTTGACAGTTTTTTGCTTTATTATATAGGCAACCATACGTTCTCCTTTTTTCTCCAATTTGGGTACCTCCTTATATTTTTTCTTCTCAATTATGTGTTCCTGGGTTTTGTTTCTTTTTTCGCTGGTGATGATTGGTTGCTGGGTATACAACTATTGGTGCAAACTTTCCCATGTTTTATACCTTAGTTTGCTTCTTTTGATTTTATACCACAGTTTTCTACCTTGCAATAGTATGAACAGTTTTCTTATGTATGTAATCCTACAGTGTAGATCTTGTTATTAGTGACCTGATTAGAGTAAGTAGGCTCATCTCGTTGGAGTCTGATGTTTGTAGAAGAGCGTAGAAATGAACTTGGTCATTTCCTCGAGGGCTTTAAAAAATTTAAGCATTTTAGTCAAAATGATTCCTAAGATTGGCATAACTCCTCAATTTGGTCATTGACAATGAAAATTGATAGAAGTGGTCCCTAAGATTGGCATAACTCCTCAATTTGGTCACTGACAATGAAAATTGATAGAAGTGGTCCATGAGATGGACATAACTCCTCAATTTGGTCATCAAAAGCTTTTTCAACCATTTTAAAAGCCCTTCCAAATGAGTCCAGAGTATGTGTGTCCTTGATTTTCATATGCACAGAACTACTTGCTGAGACACGTAACTTACAGTGCATCAAGAATCAGATGCGAAAGTTTTTTTTTTTCCAAACCAATGAATAGAAATACTTTTTATTCTTCCTACTAGAGCAAACAGAAAGTTGAGAGGTCTGATAAGATGGAAAGAATTGGGAGATTTTACTTGGCATTGTGATGGTGAAATGAAGGTTGAGAGAGTTGACACAGTGGAGCTGCATCAAGAATATTTTGACATAACTAGGTGTATTGAATACATACTCCTACTGTCTCCACGATAGCTGCTTAAAATCGAAGCAATTCAGTCTCCGAATCGGGCCTTTATGACAGAACTGGTCAATAGAAATACTCCAGCAACTCACCCTTGTCATATATTACATAAATCGCATTGGATAGGTATGTCATATTCATCACATTCACACCCCGTAAACCGAAGGGAGGTAGAAGCAAATTGATAATATTTTGATTCATTCTCTACGAATCATTGTCAATGTTCTGGTATCAGTTAACAGTTTTCCTTGAACGCTTTTTAGCTTATGGAACGCTTTAATTGATCAGGTTTTTGCCACCAGGTTTAACCACCGAGGCCCTGAGGGCGTAGACTGTCGATGAAAGCACCAATACGTACAAAAGAAAAACCCAAAGAAAACTTCAAATCCATCTTGTTTCGGTTTCAGCAACTAGAGCAAACGCCCTGATCAGTTAAAGAACAACAGCAACTACTAAAATAAATAGCGCCTCATCACAATCAGGCAGCGCATGTGGATAAGAAACAGACAAAATTACACACAGCAACTGCAAGCAGAAAACACACAATGAAAATACAAGCAGCGAGCAGCAAGCAATTTTACGTACATTATCGTCATAAGAAACAAACAAGGAATTGATTTCATTACCGAAAGCAACCTCTCCAATGGCACACTGAAGCAATGGATTCACCTTATGATCAATTTCCACGTATTGGTCTTGAAAGATAGAATTTGAGTCTCTGCAACAAATTCCTCTGGCATATTTGTGAGCGTCAATTCCTCTAAGGTAGTGGAATTGATAAGTGTTTCCGGAACGCTTTTTAGCTTATGGCAGCGTCGGATTTCCAATTTCTGGAGGTTTTGCATTGCTCCTTGCTCAACCACCCACCCCTCTAGATCTTCCAGCACCCAGAGTTGCAGGATTCGAAGTGAACCAAATTCACTTTGCTGAGAAACCATTTTGCTTCCAGAGTAAGAGTTGGCCAAAAGCCTCAGGACTGTCAAGTGTGGAAGCCGCCGGAGCATCAGCATAGGATCAACATTCAACCTTGAGCATGATAAAGTAAGGTCCCTGAGGCTTGGTGGGAACTCCAAAGGGTCCTTGTCTAAGTTGGCTAATTTTCCCAGCAAATAAAGTTTAGTGAGATTCTTGAGACCCACCAAAGACACCAGATGGAGTGATGAAGGTCTGGCCATTTCATCATCTTGTGTGGACCTCAACTTTAAAGATTGGAGGCTAGTTGGTTTCGCGATGCACTGGCCTAATCCGTGAGCAGTTAACGGCCTGTGAGACCCAACTTTTTTAGGTTTTTGCGGAACTTGATATAGCTTTCTAACAGTGTCAAGGTCTTCCTGTCGACAAATATTCCAGATAATGTCTGAATACTACGTGTGTCGTCCAAATCCTACCCACACGAATATCATTCAAGTATAGATGCCGCAAGACATCCATGTTCTGAAAGGAAACTGGGAGAGAACGGATATAAGTATGCTTGAGGTCCAAGGTCTGCAGATGGATGAGGTTACGAACAAGATTTGCTATGTGCTTATATGGTCTTGAGCTACTTTTCATATTGCTAATTGGTTTTACAGTGGATCCTCAATTTCATCATGGTATCAGAGCAGGTTGTCCTTGTGTGAAGCCAAATGATCACACGCGCTCCACGTCATCCAGTTGTTGTCCACGTGTAGGCTTGAAAATCCGTTACACGTACGGCGGCGTATTGAGAGTTGTTCCACATTGGTGAGGAACAAGGATTGCTATGTGCTTATATGGTCTTGGGCTACTCCCTATATTGCCAATTGGTTTTATGGTGGAATCTCAATTTCATCATTGTTGAGAGTTGTCCTACGTCGGTGAGGGACAAGGTTTGCTATTTGCTTATATGGTCTTGGGCTACTCTCTATATTACCAATTAGTTTTATGATGGAACCTCAACTTCATCATAGTATCAGAGCATGTTGTACTCGTGTGAATCCAAATGGCACACACTCCAAGTCACCCAGTTATTGTCCACGTGTAGGCTTGAAAATCCGCCACACGTGACGGGACGTGTTGAAAGTTGTTCCACATCGGTGAGGGACAAAGTTTGCTATGTGCTTATATGATCTTGGGCTACTCTTTATATTGCCAATTAGTTTTATGGTGTAACCTCAATTTCATCCGGAAGAGCATCCACGAAGGTCCATCTTAGGCCCATATACCTCAAGTGATAATGATATCCCGGTTCTTCAGGCAACGCAGGTTTATAAACACGTTCAAGATCAAGCACCGTGAGTAGCAAATAGCCTCTTTTACCTATGATCTTGGTGACAAAATTTCCAATTTGGAGTGCTTGCATATCCTTCTTTTGGAAGTTAAAGGATGTATAAGACAGTAGATATACATTGGACGTAAAGTTCTGAGTCAGCTGGGTAGTCCTTGATGTTAGCATACTCGGCAACCCTACGAACTGCAAACTGAGGAGGAGGTGTTTGACTTTGATGATCATGATCACGGTCAGTTGATGATGATGACGACGCAATATTTTTGTGAATATGAAAGAAACTGACTTGCTCAGCTTTGGGCAAAATGATGTCATAGAATTTTCCTGTAATACAACATCTCTTGGGACTTGTATCGGATACTGATCTGGATACACGGACCATTCGTCTCTTTTCCAGATCTTCCAAATACTCCACTGCCAAATCCTCTGAAACTTCAGGAGCAGTCACTCCGTTATTCTGAATATGTTACCTTTTGACCAGAAAATCTTCTGCAAGCCAAAGGTGAAATAATCTTCTGATGGGTATATCCATTTCTCTTGGAAACATCCCAAGATAGAGAAGGCATGGCCTTAAGTGGGACGGTAGTTCATAGAGTAGTTGCACTTGCACTTGATCATTGTGCTGCTGCTTAGGGCAGTTTGATGAGCTTGCGGGCGCTTGTGACTTAGTATTGTTAGTATCATCATTATTGTTTGCAAAAGGATGTGGCTCTACCATTTTTCAACTTCCAAGTCGAGATTCTTTCTTCAATTTGCATCATCTCCTTCCAGAGGTTGTGATGAGCCTTTAGACCTTTAAACAATGTAATACATCAGACGAAAACAGATCTCTGCCTACGTGTTCTTCCGAGGACAAAAGTGTCAACAATGTCCTCCAAATCATGAGCTATGCCCAAAAATTCTTCAATCGACTTGCTAACATTTTCATCATCACTTGTCTGCTTTTCTTCTGCATTTCTTAAATGACTTCCCATCTCTTGAATGTAAGAGTATGAGTATGAATTGAACATTAAGAGTCGAGAAGTATATATCTTTTGAATGGAGAAGTCCTATTAACAAGCTTAGTGGAAATCCTTTCTCTTGTAGGATTGTGAGTACAAGTCCTTGTAATTTTGGGACTTATTTCTATGCTATATCTATTGAGGGTCACTTGTATCACTATATGGATTACTTGTTCAAGTTCTATAAGAATTCTAATAGGAGAATAATTAGAACGATCATATATATATATATATGATCTTAATCACTGCTCTTGGCACTGTCTGCTCATTGCGTTTCAAATACCTATTGTTTGGAGAGCATTTGTGTTTGCAAAAGAGGAGAAGGTTATCGGATCAACAAGCTACAATGGCTTCATCTTCTACACCAAGTTCTGCAGGTTAGTGTCTATGCCTATGTATCGAATTTTCATAAACATATTTGCTGATGAATGTTCAGTTTGTTCTTGTTTTGTGGTGATTCAATTGGCATACTTGTGGTGAATAACGTTGGTATATATTTGTATATCTTACATGTGGTATCAGAGTTAGGGACTGGCCTGTACTGCCACGTGATTGGGTGGGTCCCCATTTGACCCTGCGCAATGGGTGAGTCCCGACATGGCTCCACGTAGGACAAAGATGCCACGTGATTAGGTGGGTCCCCGTTTGGCCCCGCTTGATGGGTGAGCCCCGACTTGGCTCCATGTGGTTGCCAATATGTGGATCTCTATGTGTGACCCACAAAATGGGGTCTCACATGGGGGGAGTGTTGGAACACCCATTGTCCCACATCAGCCAAGAGGGAAGAGAGAAAGTGTAATACCCTGAAAATTTTAAATATATGAATATGTGAAGAAAATCGAAAATAAATCGATTGATGATTATAAAGAATTTAATCGAGAACTTTTAAAGTTTTGTTTCCGGAAATTATAATAATCTACGTATTTGTATTATTGAGCTTTTATATGATTTTTCAAGAGTTTATAATAATTTGTGTAAGTTTAGTTTTAAATTAAACTAGTTACGAGGTTTACAATTTGGAAATTAACTATTTAAAATTCGTAGAACCTTTTGAGGTCACAATTTATATTTTTGAATAGAGCTCAATCTCACAAACGCGTGGGCGCAAACCGTTAGTGAAATGGAGTTATAACGAAAAAGTTATTAACGCTTAAAGTCGAGGGTAAAATTGTAAGTGTATCATTTCTAGAATACTCTAGATTTTTAGAGCCAAATCCGGAAGGCCACGTGTGTGGCCCAGATTAAAAGTAAGAAAAATTAGGTGATGGAGATGGAAGATAAAGGAGAGAAAGGAGGGAGAAAGAGGCCAATCAGGAAAGGGGGGGGGGGATGAGAGAGTGACCAATGAGAGAAGAGAGAAAGGAGGGGACAAGAGAGGAAGGAAGTGCACCGGATTCTTCGACCCGGTTCTATGCCATCGACCCGACCCGGCTTTCTCCACCTCCTCCGGTGGCTTTTCGTCGGGTTTTTCTACGAATTATGTTACCAAACCACCTTAAAAAGGTTCAATGACCTTCCCTCTTCCTATTACACCCCAAAAATCATGAAATTTGGCCTTGAATGTGGGAAAACCGCACCGGTGGGTGCGATGAACCCGTGCCTTTGTTTCCCCCAATTCTGAAATGACTCCATCAAATTAATACCACCATTAGACTCCCCTTGAGGTCTGGAACAAAGCCATTCATTGGTTGGGGCGTCGGAGTTGTTTTGGAGATGAATCAAGAACACCAAAAAACAAGGGTTTCCGACGGTTCGTGGCCATTTTGAGGTGTTTCCTGGCCAAATTGGCCTTGGTCTCAGGTATGAAAGTTTCTCTACTCATTGAGATCTTCATTTCTGTAATTTTTGAGAATTTTTAGAAATAGTTGAGTTTTCCGGCACGTCGGGGCGACCGATCGCCACCCGTGGTGGCTGGTGCGGCGGTGCACTGCCAGGGAGCCAACATTGTGTTTTTATGCAAACTTTGTTATTCTAATTATGTTTTTGAGACCTAATTGCTGTGGTTTGACTATTAATATGATTGTAGTATATGTTGGATTAAATGAATATATTCATATTTGGTTTGAACTTTGGAAATGTGAACTACAAATGACTTGATCCCTGTTTATGGTACGTAGGCAGTCTAGCGAGAAGTTAGATGCAACCATAAAACAAATAAGATTAAATAATTTAGAATTACATTTTTGTTGAGAAGTAGAAATTATATTTGGGCCTATCAACAAACTAAATCCTTGAAAATAATTATTTCGGGGCCAGGGTGTGACAGAAAGCACTTTAAATAGAATTACCCCACTCTAACTAACATAGGGGCCTTTTGTGATAAAACCCCATACCTAAGGATTGTGCAGGTGGTTAAGTGGGGATAGTATCGATGTTGTTAGAGTGGGCCCTCTGCCCGTTGACCTGAAAAATTCTACATGATATCAGAGCTATTGATATTTAGACCATTGAATTCAAAATATGGTTTAAGAACAAAACATGACTTAATCATCTCTGGGACCTAGTCTAACCCAGAAAAAATGTTAAAACGACACCGTTTTGTTAGAGAAAAAAAAAAATCTAAAAGAGCCGTTATAACTTCCTTTTCGTTTCAGATCGCGAAGGTGGGGTGGTCTGTGCTGTGAGAGAAACAAATACAGAGGGCAATGATTCGTGAAGGTAGGAGTTGTTTTAGGAACATATATGGGTATTTTGGGTAAAAAACTTTGATTCCCGATGGAGCCCTCTACCCGGAATTCAATTACCACCTCTATAGAGGTAATCCAATTCCGGTAAAATCAGGAATTGAACTCCTGAAATTTGGTGGACCCCACATAAAGTCTCTGTCAATTACCATTTTAACCTTCTAATTAAAACTGAAGATGAATAAGAAATATGAGCAGAAATCTAATTTCACACAACTAAAATTTTGTTATTTTTTTTCAAAGCCTCACCTATATGTGAACATATCTCTATTAAAAATAAAAAATAGAAATTGAACCTCTCTTCCTTCTCTCCTCACTCCCACGTTCTCTCTCTCTCTCTCTCCATTTCCTTTCTATTTTAAAAACAAAAATAAAAAAAGTTCACACACTTTGTGTGTCACCATATGCTAGTATATTATATATGTATTAACAAGACCTTTTATTTTCTTTATCATTATTTATAAATCGTCTTTGCAAAAAAAAAAAAATATATATATATATATATATATATAGAATTAGGGATGATTTAGTCATCTTAAACGCATATATGGATATGATAATAACTAACATTCTTACCATTCAATAGGTTAGTTGGTTGATAGATGCGAAACGTAAGAAATTCTAAATTTGATTATTTTTATTCTAGGGATGAAAATTTCAATTGGTTAATTGGTTGATAGATGTGGATGATTAAACGTAAGCAAATGCCAATTTGATTATTTTTATTGTAGAGATGAAAATAAATAGTTATTATAATATTTATATGGGAAAATAAATAGTTATTATAATATTTATACGGTTAAAACACGTCAATTACAAATAGACAGACAAACGGGTAAAGAGGTGCAAACATGTGGCAGGTTGTTGGATAAATCGTCAAAATGGTCTTTGAGATTTGTATAACTCATCACTTTGGTTATTGAGATTCCAAATCGATAAAAGTGGTCCCTGAGATTGTCCACCATTCATCATTTTGGTCATTCTGTTAAAAACTCCATTAAGTGTCCCGGAGCTCTTGGCCGGAAGTTTGAGCAATTTTCAAAGCTTCGTAACTCAATCATTTCTTAACCAAATTCGATCCATAATATATCAAAATGAAGATAGGAAAGTGTAGAATAAGATTATACCTATTTCAAAGCCCAATAGTTGCCGGAGATAGCCGGAAAATAGCCTCAAAGTTGACTGGTCCGAGTGAAAATTTGAAAACTCGTCGGAAACTAGGTAAACTTTAAATGTTCATAACTTCTTCAATACTCAACGAAATCAAGTGATTCAAGAACTAAAATCATACTTCTCAACGAGACAAAGAGAATGGTACCTTTTTTTATGGCTAACTCGCCATTTTTTTGCCGAAAAACGGCTTGAAAGTGGCTAACTTGAGACCAAGACAGCCAATTTTGAGCAATTTTCCGGCCAAACCACGGCGAGTTAGCCATCCAAAAAGGTACCATTCTCTTCATCTCATCAAGAAGTATAATTTTTTTTTGAATCACTTGATTTTGTTGAGTATTGAAGAAGTTATGAACGTTTAAAGTTTACCTAGTTTCCGGCGAATTTTCAAGTTTTCACTCGGATGAGTCAACTTTGAGGCTATTTTTAGGCCATCTCTAGCAACCATTGGGCTTCAAAATAGGTATAATGTTATTCTACACTTTCCTATCTTCATTTTGATATATTATGGGTCAAATTTGGTTAAGAAACGATTGAGTTACGAAGCTTTAAAAATTGCCCAAACTTCCGGCCAAGAGATTCGAGACACTTAACGGAGTTTTTAACGGGAAGGACCAAAATGATGGATGGTGGACAATCTCAGGGACCACTTTTATCGATTTGGAATCTCAGGGACCAAAGTAATGAGTTATGCAAATCTCAGGGACCATTTTGATGATTTACCCAAAATCTAATTTCCATCAATTACAGAATTGACGAATTTGAAAGCATTGAGCTTCGATTGAAAATCTAATGGAGTGAAGGGACCAGCAAAGACTCACTATTTTTAGTCCTCACAGTTATGGCCATACAATCATTCATAAAATGCTAAATAGCCAAAACGGTTTATGAGATTTGCATAATCAATAGAAATGATCCCTGAGATTGAAAATCAATAGAAATGGTCCCTAAGATTGTTCACCATTCATGATTTTGGTCATTCCGTTGAAAACTTTTTGGACAATTTTCAAAACTTCGTAACTCAATCGATTTTTAACCAAATTCGACCCATAATATATCAAAATGAATACAGGAAAGTGTAGAATAAGATTATACTTATTTGGAAGCCCAATGGTTGCCGGAGATGGCCGGAAAATAGCTTGAAAAGTGACTGGTCCGCGGAAAAACTGGAAAACTCGCCGGAAACTGGGTAAACTTTAAACATTCATAACTTCTTCAATACTTAATGAAATCGAGTGATACAAAAATGAAAATCATACTTCTTGACGAGACAAATAGAATGGTACCTTTATAGATGGCTAACTCTTCGTGTTTTGGCTGAAAAATGACTCAAAAATGGTTAGCCATTTTCGAGCCGTTTTTCACAAAAATCACAGCGAGTTAGCCATCGAGAAAAGTACCATTATCTTTGTCTCATCAAGAAGTATGATTTTTGTTTTCGAATCACTCAATTTCGTTGATTATTGAAGAAGTTATGAACGTTTAAAATTTACCCAGTTTCCGGAGAGTTTTCTAGTTTTCCCGTGGAACAGTCACCTTTCAAGCTATTTTCCAGCCATCTCCGGCAACCATTGGGCTTCCAAATGGTATAATCTTGTTCTACACTTTCCTATCTTCATTATGATGTATTATGGATCGAATTTGGTTAAAAACCATTGAGTTATGAAGCTTTGAAAATTGCCCAAAGAGTTTTTAACGGAATGACCAAAATCATGGATGGTGGACAATCTCAGAGACTATTTTTATTGATTTTCAATCTCAGAGACCATTTCTATTGATTATGCAAATCTCAGAGACCATTTTGGCTATTTAGCCTTCATAAAATATCTTCTTTCTTCCTAAAGGATAATTTTGCCTAAAAAAAATGATAAATACTTGTGTTTTTTTTTATTTACTTACTTTGTCAATATGAGACTAAAACAATTATTATTTTTCGAGTCTTTAATTTATATGTATAAGAAATGAATGAGCACTAAATTAAATCTAGTATTGCTAAACACATACATACATTAATTTCTTGAAGGCTAATACTAGAAACATCAAATTTTAAACCAAATTTTGAAAACCGTATGATGTGATTGTTGATGATTGTATTATTACTTAAATATTAATTAATGTGCATTTTCCTATTAGTGATATGTCATATGGTTTGCAAACTTGATCTACGCATTACTCTTTGTTGAAGGTTAAACTTGAATTAGAATGAATGTCTAAAAACTGCAACTCACAAAGCTACTAGCTAGTAATTATAAACAATTAACAAACAGATAGAAACTCGTAAAAATTGGATAAAAAAAAAGCACATATCATTTTGAACTCATGAGCCTTCATTAATTTTAAACAACAAAAATCATTACTTCTGATTAAACTTCTTGATTATTTAACCAAATTTTATAAATTTGTAAAAATTGGAAAGTAAAAAATGCACATAGCGTTTTAAACCCGAGACCTCCTTGTTAATTTTAAATAGCATAAGCCATCAATTATGGTTAAAGTTCATGATCATTTAAACAAATTTCAAAAATTTATACTTTTATAGAAAGAAATTCATAAAAATTGAAAAGTAAATAAACACAAACACAAGTAGGGTTTTGAAGCCAGGATCTTCTTGTTAATTTTACACACAAAAACTACTAGTTATAGGTAAATTTCTTGAAATTTTAACTAAATTTATAAATTTATATTCTTATGAAAACATATATGAATATACCACCCTAATAATTTTGGTGCCCTAATTTTTTTGGGCCCCGAACGTTTGCCAGCCCGCACTAGGCATGGGCCAAGCCCTGCCCAATAACAACCTGACATGTTAACGGGTTGATCAAAAACTTGTTATTTTCGTTTCAGTTTGTGTCAAATTAACATATTGTATAAAAAATTGTCAGTACTAGTCACAGTCAACCCAGCTTGATAGTGACGGAAGGACCCAGGAGGAGCTGTGGTCTAATATTCAACTCCTTACCTAATCACCATCATGAAATTCTCCCCTTCACATTTGTAGGCCAAGTTTGCACGTAATCCTAAAAAGCCTTGAACCCTGCTTTTTCAAGCCCTGAACCCTGCTTTTTCATCTGCTCTGTATTTCTTCAAAGACAGCATGGAGCATTCCTGTAGTACTCATGGTAGGCTTATTTTGTTTACGTTCTTTCGCGGGCTTGTTCTTTTGTTATGCATGAGCACACATGTGGATGCCGCAATTCTGCCCGGAAATGAAACCGATCGTTTGGCACTGCTAGACTTCAAGGACAGGATAACTCAAGATCCTCTCAATGTCATGAGCTCGTGGAACGATTCCACTGATTTCTGCAGTTGGGTTGGAGTTACATGCAACCCTTCCACCAAAAGAGTTTCGATTTTGAAACTCAACTCCCGAGAACTGGCAGGCTCTATACCAGCTTCTATAGGAAACCTCACCTACCTGACAGGAATCAACCTAACAAACAACGGCTTCCATGGTGAAATTCCTCAAGAAATGGGTCGTCTACGAAGCCTGCAATATCTCAACCTATCTGGAAATTCATTCAGAGGGAAGCTTCCAGCTAATATATCTCACTGCACAGAGTTAAGCGGGCTCGATGTGCGCTCCAATGAGCTTATCGGGTCAATTCCGAACGAATTCAGTTCCTTGTTGAAATTGACTTACCTTTTGCTTGCTAGTAACAATCTCACAGGAAGCATCCCGAAATGGATAGGAAACTTTTCTGCTTTGTATAGTATTTACCTTCTCGGCAATAATTTTCACGGAAGCATACCAAATGAGCTTGGTCGTCTAAAAGGCTTGCAAGTGCTGACGCTTTCCGAGAATAATTTGTCTGGTATGGTCCCTCCTTCAATTTATAATATTTCTTCTTTAAGGAGGTATGCAGTCACTCTAAACCAACTGCAAGGCGAGCTACCTCCAAATATCGGTACTACTCTTCCAAATCTTGAAGTATTTTACGGTCATTCAAACAATTTCACTGGTAATTTTCCTATCTCCTTGTCAAATGCTTCTAGACTTTCGGGTATTGATTTTTCTACCAATGTCTTCACTGGGACAATCCCTGCAAGTTTTGGGAACTTGAAAAACTTAGTTAAACTAAACTTAGCCGGCAATTTACTAGGAAGTGGGAAAACTGGTGACCTGAATTTTCTTAGCTCCTTGGCCAATTGTACTATCTTGGAGATTTTGGGTATTTCCAATAATCAATTTGGAGGAGAATTGCCAAGATCCATAGCCAACCTTTCTACTAGTCTTCAAATTCTTGCTGTAGGTGGCACTTTGATACATGGAACCATCCCTATCGGTATTGGAAATCTTATAAACTTGACTGTTTTGGGAGCGGGTCATAGCTTTTTGAGTGGTAATCTACCCGATGAAATTGGAAAGCTTCAGAAGTTAGGGGAACTGTATTTGAGTGATAGCATGTTTTCGGGTCGAATCCCATCCTCCCTTGGAAACTTGACTTCATTGACAAGGCTCTACATGCACCAGAATAGTTTTGAAGGAAGCATTCCTCCAACTCTTGCAAACTGCCATACTCTATTAGTACTTAATCTTTCTGGTAACAACATAACAGGAGCCATACCTAGAGAGCTTATTGGGCTCTCGTCCCTTTCAATCTATTTCGGCCTGGCTAACAACCATTTAACTGGTGCACTGCCACAGGAAGTAGGTAAATTGGCCAATCTCGTGGAGCTAGATGTATCAGGAAATCAGTTATCAGGTGATATTCCAAGTGCCCTAGGCAATTGTATTATGTTGGAGCGCCTATGCTTGGCAGATAACAAATTTGATGGAACAATTCCTGAATCTCTTAATAGTTTAAGAAGCTTAGAAGAGATGGATATTTCGAGCAATAATTTTTCTGGGCAGATTCCTGAATTTATAGGCAAGTTAAAATTTCTCAAGAATCTCAATGTTTCTAATAATAATTTCGAGGGTGAACTGCCTAAAGAAGGGATTTTTCTAAATGCAAGTGGTCTCTCAATTCTCGGAAATGGTGGGCTTTGTGGTGGCATCCCACAACTAAGTCTACCTCCATGCTCCAACTCAAAGGCTCATTCATCTCGAGGACTGCTTGCCCCAAAAGTAGTCATCCCTGTAGCTTGTGCGCTTGCATTCATAATTGCTCTGTCATACTTCATTGTTGCTCGTTTAAGACGTAAACCTGTAACTTCACCTTCCCATAAGGATTGGAAAATGGGTGTCTCTTACTTGGAACTTGTTGAATCAACTAATGGGTTCTCCATGGACAATCTTATTGGTACGGGAAGTTTTGGTTCAGTTTACAAAGGCATAATCCCTAGTGATGGAACTGTAGTTGCAGTTAAGGTATTGAACCTTCAACAAGAAGGAGCTTCCAGGAGTTTCATCCGTGAATGTAATGCTTTAAGAAGTATTAGGCACCGTAATCTTCTCAAGATCATAACTGCCTGCTCAAGCATTGACAATCAGGGCAATGACTTCAAAAGTTTAGTTTTTGAGTACATGGTAAATGGAAGTCTTGATGCGTGGCTGCATCCAATAGATAAGCAATCTCAAAGTAAGAGATTGAGCCTTAGACAAAGACTCAATATTGCAATTGATATTGCTTCAGCATTGGATTACCTCCACCACCATTGCGATACATCGATTGTTCATTGTGATCTAAAGCCAAGTAATGTTCTACTTGATGAAGATATGGTGGCTCATGTTGCTGACTTTGGTTTAGCAAGGTTCCTCTTGGAAGCGGCGGATAACCCCTCTCAAAGTCAAACCATGTCAGCTGGGCTAAGGGGTTCCATTGGCTACATTCCTCCAGGTATGCGTTTTTGTGATTCTCAATATGTTTTTTATTCCTAAAAACTTATTAGTAGCCCACTTAAGTCTCTATTAATATGAATGAAAATGGAAAAATACCTCTTTTCTTTTGATAAGAAGCATCAGCGAACTCTTAAATAAGATTTGAATTATAAACATTTGACTTGACATCCTAATGTGAGTAATGGATGACAGAGTATGGCATGGGAGGCGAAGTAACCATACTAGGAGATGTTTATAGCTTTGGGATACTGTTGCTAGAAATGTTCACGGGAAAAAGACCTACCGATGGAATGCTTGGAGATGGTATAAGTATTCGCAATTTCACAGCCTTGGCAATGCCTGATCATGCCATGGACATAGTTGATCCTTCATTGCTCATTGAAGGAGAAGATGCAGATGCTAATGATGACAAATACAAAAATGAGATAGAAGAAAAACCTATTACAAATTGTCATGACCACGGCCGAGTCCAAGGAAGAAAATTGGAGGAATGTTTGGTTTCAATGATGCAGATAGGACTCGCATGCTCTGCAATATCCCCGGGAGAGCGGATGCATATGAATGTTGTTATCAACAAAATGAAGGCAATTAGAGACTCATTTATGAAATTATGAAGACGAAGCTAGCAGTATACGAGATTGGGCTAAGTTTCTTTTCTTAATCTCACTCTTTAGACTCTTATATATGCCAGAACATAATTTGCCAAAGATAGTATATGTACCAATGTGTGTTGTATGTAAAGTTGATTTAGTATTTTATAATTATATTGTAGAATAAGGGAATATTGTTTTGTTCTGTTTACGCTTTCTCTGTTTGTATCGTATTACTACTAGAGAAGAGCCAGGTCGAGTATAATTTTTGTGAAAGTCATGTGATCCCCCTTGTCTAGCCTTTTTTTAACTGTCATTTCTCTCTTCGTTCATCATACCTATCATTGTTACTTTTACTTTTTGAATTGAGATTAGTAGGCCTAGTAGTAGTAAAAGTATTCCGACTAAAGAGCTATCTTGCACTTTGAACAGTGAAATTCATCATTAACTTTTTTTTGCTGAAATTACTTTTGATGTTCTATGGTTGAAATAGTTACATTTTTGTATTAATTAGTTTCTGTTTAAATCCAACCAGTCTCGACGATATATGTGTTTGGGTTAATATTTGAACATTGAGCTGCAAATGTGTGGAAGCCCAGAGATACCAACTAAAGGAAGACTTGCCCGAAGCCCAGAGGCAAATTGGCGCATTCCCATTAATGCATAGGCCATGTGCCTATGATTTAAATGTCAAGTTATGAGGACTAACTCACAATCAGCCAAAAAGCACTTTTCAGTGGCAATACAAGTAAAAAGTTGATGACTCACTACCCTCAAAGTGCTTTCGGGCAAGTGCAAAGTCATAGCAGTCGGGCTAATTCGCCTATAAAAGGAGGAATAGGCCCCAGAGACAACAAGACTCAACCAATCAAACAAACAAACATACAAACTCTGCTATCAAGCCAGATTTGCATCTAAAAGCTGTAATCAGCCCAGATCTTAGTCTTTTTTAAGATATCTCCCTCACAAAAGCTATCTTTTGTCTTGCTTAGAAGCTCTGCTATCACCCCTAGTGGCGTAGTATCGATTCCCTTGTGTAGGATGGTTTACATTCATCCCTTTTTAGCATAAAACCTCTGTAAAGTAAAAAAGAAGTGATTGCAAGAGGTTCAACCTTGCCAGACAAGGTGAAATCTAGCCCGAATCTCTTTGTTTGATTTCTGAATTTGTAGATCTATTACTTAATGCATCTTCAGTATGTATTCAAGTCATATCCGCCTGTTTTCCTACTTTAAAAGTCTTATTTGTATTTGGATATGGTCAGTTTAATGGATATGCCTTCATTTAAAACTAATCAAGAACTAAACAAATGACTTAAGGGATCTGGACTCCCCTCATTCGAATATATAAGACTATGAACTGAAAGTCCTTGGTCATAAGGCAAGAAAAAGAACTTAATGTGGACTTAACCCATCCACGACAATCCTTTGATAACAAGAAGTCCGAGTAACTTGGGGCGCAAGTAATCGACTAAACACAATCTTGTTCTACATCTGCTATATTGAAATAGCAGTTGCACGCCTAGCACTTAGTTAGTTTTGATTGCGAGCCTCAAGGCCTACACCTAAGGCCCCACAAAGGTACATTTCAAAACTAACTTTGTCCTCTTCTTGCAGCACATCAGCAAGCAATAGCCCAACTACACATCCAAAGTGCCAATCCCTTGGGGAGATGTGCTGAGAGCTGAGGAGCCATCTCCAGAGAAATCTTTGCCCAAACAATATGACATTATCCTAATTGCAGCATAAAGGAGTCTTATAATCCTGCACTATTTCAGTCCATTTTGATTTGCTTGATCCATCCTAATTAATATTCCTTCATCTAAATTTCGATATAGTCTATCTGAACTCATCAGAGTTTATCATATGCTTATACAGTCAATTCCTTGTATGAAAAGTTAGTAAGTTTGCATGTAACCTAAAAAGTCTGAAACCTGGTTTTACATCTTCTTTGTATTTTAGAAAAAACAGCACAGAGCATTCTTATAGTACTGCATTAAGGAGTTGCAGATGAGCATTTTTTGCTACCGGCAACCAATCTCCACTGCATTGCTGGATTCCCTTCATATTTTATAAACGATAATTATTGATTAAAAGAAACAACATTGATTAATCGTGCAGCTTGTCTTGGTCATATGAATTATTATGCTTTAGAAATTTGATACCAACTCTGTGGATGCAAATTTCCACCGTCTTCTCCATTGACGAAAATGCACCTACAAAATAATAACACCTAAGATTAAGGCTAAAAGTATCACGCGCCCACGATGAATTGGGGGGGGCTTTGGCCAAAGAATCTCCGATGTTAAAGTTAAAATTCTGAAAAGAATATGTTTAGGAGTTTATGGGTAACAAATGGCTTAGCTTTTTAGTGGGAGAATAGGGCTATTATAGGGGAGTGGCCGGCTATATATGTTGAAATTGTGTGAATAATTGTAAGATATTATGTGAAATAATATCTTGCAATTAAGATGGCAATTAATCCTAAATTAAATAGGAAATTTGGGAGTTACCTTTTGAATAAGGATTTGATGAGGAGTGATGAGAGGGATTTGAATAAATACCATTTTGATCACCTTTGACTCTTCCTTGATTGAGCTGTTATTGTCCATTGCATGCACGTGGGAATCCCGGTGTGCCTCGAGAGTAATTTTTTCCTTTTTACCCAAAAGTCCACGTGTCACCTCCATAATTTTCTTGATTATTTTGGGCTCCACAAATGCCCCTACACCTATTGAGTTGCTCGCAGGAAAGGGCATCAGGTATAAAGATTTTCCCTTGCTTGAGGAAACATAAGATTGTTTCCTATTTTGATGTAGATTCCCACTTTAATTGAAAATTAGATCATTCTAGGAAAGGGAAATAAATCACTTCCAACGTCTATTTAAGTCTACCTTAAGTAGATGATTAAATCAACTTCAGAGAGCAATTTATTCTACCCTACAAGAGAGAGAAAGCTAGAGGATATTTGTTCCTCCTCCCTTAGCAATCTTCTTCACTTTCCCGTGAAAAGGGTTGTCCTTTGTTGTTTTCTTTGTCTTCTCCGCGCCATGCTGAGGTAAGAAAATTCTAATTTTCCTTATCTTTTTCTTGGATAGTGCTGTCGCAGGGCAGCCAATGAGGTGGTGTGGCATGTAGGCTAGTAGAGGTCAAGAGTCGGCTAGGCATAGGACCAGGAAGTGTTGTGGTAGAGACCACTGCTTGAGCTGCTTGGCTTGGCTAAAGCCAAGGGCAGCTGTGCAGCTGAGGCTGCGAATTGAGGCATTGGGGCGCAATGCTAGGCGAGCAGCACGACTCATGTCCTTTGGACTATTAGCCTTGACGTGGGCCATGCCAGCGATTGAGAGAAATGAAAAGGATGTGGGCCTCATGGGCTGTTAGAATGTTGGGCATGCAGGCCTCTTGCCTATTGGTTCGAGAGAAAAAATGAGGGAAAAGCCATCATGGGTTGAGCTTCCTTGCTGTTTGGTTAAGCTGAGAAAGATAGGTCGTGGCTCATAAGCAGTTGAGGTTTCGTCATAAATTGTTTGATCTTTAGGCTGCTCTCTGATTTTTTAATTGTCATCCTTTATCTATGTAGATTTGGAATTTGGCTCAACTTCAAGACTTCTCCAGATATGAAGAAAGTGCATGTTGCTTTAGGTATCCCTGCTGAGTACCGTGAAGGGCGTTGGCTGTTTAGTCTTTCTTTTTTGCCGAAAAAAATGTGGGCTGCTCTCGAGATGGGAGATAAAGAGGATCAAGGTGGATGCATTGGCTTATCCAATTGTTATCGTTGAGCCTATTGTGAATGAAGGTGGAAAGTAGAGATCTTCCCTACTTGCTCAAAAGATGCCGGTTGAGAAAAAATCAAAAACTTCCTCCGCTACTCGTGATGGTCTGCCTGTTGCTAAGAGGCATGTGATTGACTTGACTTCTTCCAATGGGAAGAAAAATGCTGAAAATGGCTAGTTTGATTACTGTTAGGATTCCTCAATGTAGAGGTTCTATCATGCCCCTAATGCTGAAGTCTATATCAAGATGTCTGTTGGGAGCTAAGTCTGGTTCACCTTTGGAGAGGCTTGTTACTATGAAGAGCGATAAGGTGGACTTTGCTACTAAAATGGCGCCAAAGCCCATTCCTCTTGTTGCTGGGACTGATTCACGTGCTGAGAAAAATTAGACTACTCGCATGGGCAGTTGTGATAAATCCATCAAGCCTGTTTCTAGAGAGTCTACTGAGATCTATGCACTTTTGAAGCCTAATCTGCTTGAAGAAACTTATTGATGGTGTCAAATGGGTTGTTTGCCCAAGTTCATTTCCGAATCATACGACCCAGTATTGGAAGATTGCTCTGCTTACCATGATGCAAAAAATGGAGATTCTGGCTGCCGAGTCTATGCTCCTTAACCAAGGGGATACCAAAGCTGCCAATGAGGTGGCAACGACTATGGCAGCTGAGGCTTATTCTTCCGCCGAGAAGATAAAAAAGTTTGAGTCTTAGCTCGTTGCTTTGAAGGGGTCAATATCTCTGCCCCCACTTCTCTGTAGCTTGAGACCGCTTGCCAGGAGATCATTGACTTGAAGACTAGGCTTGACGCGATCCAAGTTAAGTATGAAAGTGCAGAGAATGAGATTGATCGTTACATACCTCAAATTCAAGATCTTGGACGTGCCGCTTCTGAGCTTTGTTCTGCTCCTTACACAAAGGTTGCAGAGTTGATTACTACTTATAATGGAGTGATCCACTTCAAGAAGGTCGTCGAGTGGCTTGAACCCTAAGTGTTGGAACTCCAAGGTGCACTGAAAATCAACGAAAATATGATGAAGAAAGTGGATGAGCTGCAGCTCGTCCGTGTTGGTCTGCTCGAGAAGAACGAGCAGTTGAAGGGCTCGAGGCTTCACTTGTTCATAGTCAGGCTGATTTCTACAAGTTGGGTTATGTAGATCATCTTTTTGGTAGGTTGTCTAACTTTGAGTTTGCTATGAAAAACTTCGAGACCTTCTCTATTTCTCTGGAAGACTTACTTGCCTTTACTTTTGAGGCTTCCATTGGTGAAGTAGTCGAAGAAGTTAGTGCCTAGGCTAAGGCAGCCGAGGGTGAAGCACTAAATGATGCTGCTGCTGAGAGCGTCACAGTTGCTGAAGGTGTGGTGACTGAGTAGTCGTGGGATGTCCAAGCTATTGAAGACTAGTCTTCTAGGTAGCCTTTAGGATTTTCATTGTTTTTCCTTGTTGCTTTTTTCTTTGCTTTAACTCCTTCGACCTTTGTTATTTGTTTATCAATTTTACTAGAAAATTTAATAAACTTGCTTTCTTTCTTTTT